GATGAGAAGGAAGAAGGACTCCCTGGAGAAGAGCCTCATGAAGGGAACGATGGAGGGCAGAAAAAGAAGAAGGGGACGGCAGAGAAAGAGGTGGCTGGATGGAGTCACCGAAGCAGCCGGCGTGAGCTTCAATGGACTCCAGAGGATGGTAGAGGACAGGAAGGCCTGGAGGAATGTTGTCCATGGGGTTGCGATGGGTCAGACACAACTTTGCAGCTAACAACAACAAAACTTAATACCCTGCAGACACAAGTGGCTTGCTCCCATCTGTTCCTAAATGGGAAAGTCTGCTTCTTGAATTGTACAAAAGATGGTAAAAATAAGTTCACACATCAGGCAATGTCTTACAGATGACATTTTAAAAACTAAGCATTCCATTTGTGTTTAATTATATTCTTTAAACTTGTATCCCAATTTTATCACGAAGTTGAATATGGTTTACATAAATATCTTCCTTTATTTCTGCAATAATAGTCTTATAGAGTAGATTGAGTTGGGAAAATGGTTGCCTCAAAATGAACCAGAGACTCTAATTAAGAGTAAATTGCAACAGGTTCTCAGTCACATGAACTAACACATGAACTACACTCCTACATTGACTAGAATCCCTAAATTTATTTAATCAAATTGATAATGGCTGCCATCTCACACAAGGGGATTCTGGGCAGCCTACAACTAAACCAACTATCATAATTGGATGTAAAAACTACAGCAATGAAATAATCAACATAATTAAAACCAAGATTGTGAGAGAGTTTATTAAGGTTTCATAAGTAGTTATGATTTGGCTGTAACCAACAAATCAAAATAAATACCAAATTTGTCTTAAAAGCGTTCCATCATTTATTTGAAGGCAATAAATCATGTTTATAGCTAAATTATAGCTAAATAATATGCATATTGTATTGTTTATGATTAACCTATTTAAAAGTAGAGTTTGCAGCAATCTTCATAGAGAACTAGAAATATGTAGTTCATCATGACTGAATGTGTGAAACAGAGTGGGTTTCTTAAAGAGATTTTTTTTAAAAAAATGAGATGGGCAGTAAACAAATTTAATACAGAAATAAAATTTAAAAAGAACTCTCATTGTTGAAGTAGAATTAGGGAGATTATTTATTTATTTATTTATTAGACTTATATACCGCCTCATAGGGCTTTCAGTCCTCTCTAAGCGGTTTACAATTTTATTTTAGCAAATTGAGTCAGCAACTTGCCTCCACAGTCCGGGTCCTCATTTCACCCACCTCGGAAGGATGGAAGGCTGAGTCGACCTTGAGCCGGTGAGATTTGAACCGCTAAACTGCAGATCACAGTCAGCTAAAGTGGCCTGAAGTCCTGCACCCTAACCACTGCGCCACCTCGGCTCGTTTGAACTGTCTTGTTGATATTATGAACTGTCTTGTTGATATTTAGTACTAATGGAACAATATTCTTGATTTTAGGTTTTGTGATCCTGAGTTGCCAGATGAAATATGCCCGAAATAATATTAAATGGCATTACTATTGACTTTCCATTTCCACCCTACGAATGTCAGGAGGCATATATGTCCAAAGTGCTTGAGTGCTTGCAGAAGGTAAGCATTTGATGAAATCCTAAGTAAAGCATAATCCAGCCTACCTGTGTGTCAAATGAAAGAAACTTTGAAACATGCAACGTACATAATTACATGGACTGCCTTTGAAGTAGTCTATACTCTGATAATAGAATGCCTAATGCTATCTATCATAGTATAGATAGAATCTGTACTATGACAGCTGCATGGATTTGCTTGAGTCCAATTCAGAATGCTGCCTATTGCCATCTGGAGCTTTACAACCTTCAGGTACCAGAACAGGACACCAGCAGTATCACTTACTATACTAGGGTCAGAGGGGTACAGTTGAGTATCAATAAAGGAGAATATTTGAAATGAGGGGTCCTTGGTGCTCTCTGAACTTGCATGTTTCTGGCAGACATTTTATTATTCAAAGTAGGTAACATCATCGGTGCTAGTAAGGAGTGGGATTTGCTTTTAGTTTATATTTTGGCGTCTTGCCCTGTCAGTGTTGGTGGGGGTAATCTTGGGGCAGGGGTCAGCAATCTTAAACACTCAAAGAGCCACAACGGTCCTAACCGGAAGCCCCCTGTTTGATTCTGGAGCCGACTGGAAGTTGGGTTCCCCCATCATAGAGTCTCCTCCTAGTGTGGCGTCCTTTTTTCCTCTACCTGCAATAACTGAAAGCCCTATCAATTGTGGAGCCGAATGGAAAACCCGTCCCTTGCCATAGAGTCTCCTCCTGGTGTGCTGTGTTTCCTCCCCCCCTCCAACCAGAAGCTCCTTTCAAAATTGTGCTGACTGGCAACAGATCTGCAGCCGAGGGATGAAAGAGCCACATGCGGCTCCAGAGCCGCAAGTTGCCAACTCCTGTCTTGGAGGCTCTTTGGTTGAGCTGTTTGCATCTTTGGCAGTTTCTTGATTGGGGTATGGTTTACTTCTTGATTGTTGATCTGAAGGTAATCTTGGGGTTAATCTATTCTCATCTGGGTGTTGATTGCTGGCGGAGAATGGTCTTTTTGCTAGTTGATTGTCTCTTTTGTGTAGCGTATAGATATTGTTGATGACTTGTGTTTATTGATGACTAATTTGTTAGAGTTCCAGGCTTCTAGAAATTTCCTAGAGTTTTTGGACCGTGGATGAAAATTGGGGCACCCTAGGAGGATGATTGAGATGCTAGGTTTTTAATCTTTGTTTTTATGGTTTGTAGTTTTATTATGGTGAGCTGCCCAGAGTCAGGTGTTATGGGCAGCAGTACATATCTAATAAATAGATCTTGTTACCAGAAAATAAAGATGACTTTGCATCATTCATAATGGAGATAAAACTGCAAGATCCAAGTTAGTGCTAAATATTAAGGACAAGGTTATTTCAGTCAGAGTGCTTAGAGTGACTTTGTAATATTTCATAACAGGTCTGACATAGCTGGTTGCAAAAATTACTATTCTGTGATTTAATTGATTAATCCAGAATTAATCTTCTTGAAAATAACATTAGAGGACTTAGTTTTGAACAATGAGATGTAGAATTGCTTTGAAAGTATTGCAGCTATAATAAATTATGATCTTCTAAACTCAGAAACAGAATTGGCTCAGTTAACTACATCGACGTACTCGTTTTTGGATTCTGCATATATTTTTACCCTATGTAGAACAGATGCATTTGGAACATATGAAACCTGCTTAGCACTTCCTGGAAAGAAGCTTTGTTTCAGTCCCTTCCCTTATCAGTGCCAGCAGCCATGTTTACATGAGACCTGGAAATAGAGAAGTGGGTAGGTGGGTTCTCTTTTCTTGATGAAGGGAGAGAAACACTTAAAGAAGCCCTTATGTTCGTGCAATCTGTTCCTAAATGTTTAGTAAGTCAGAAAATACATTCTGTGCCGGCTTAATACTGCAAGGTAATGTTATGGGAAGACTTTGCTCATGGACTGTTTTGTAAATGTTATCATTGGCCTAGTCAGGAGACCTAGCATCTATTTGAAATCAAGGGGTCTGTCTGTCTTCCTGTTCATCTGTCTTTCTGTCTGTCCATCCATATCTGTCTGTCTGTCTGTCTGTCTGTCTATCTATCTATCTATCTATCTATCTATCTATCTATCTATCTATCTATCTATCTATCTATCTATCTATCTATCTATCTATCTATC